ATATATATATATATATATGTGAGATGTGTGTGTGTGTAGTGTCAGGGGTATGTGTGCTGTGTGACTGTGGTATGTATATGAAGTGCATGATGTGTATACCGAGGGTATATGTGCATGCATGTAGGATGTGTGTATTGTGTGTGTGTGTTGGGGGAACCTGTGACTGAGGAATTGAGTACAGGTTCAGTCATGGTCCTAGGGACCTGTGATTTTTAAACTGTGTCATAGCTCACTGGGTATAAAATAAATTCACTAGAATTGATTGGTATAAAATAAGAAGAAAGCAACAACATAGAACTAAGAGTAAAAAGGAACAGAACGTGTGGCAGGTAAAAAGGCTTCTTTTGGGAAACCTTTGTTTTAAATATATATGTATATTTTAGTTCAGACACACAAACATTATGGCACATGTGGTTTATGGTTTGAAATATGTCTTTTCCTGTGGTTGGGGTGACGAAGTTGAAAACCACTGTCCTAGATACTTAGAAAGATGAAACAGCTCAGCCTGATATGGAAAATTCCAGTTCTAGGGCAAAAACAATGTTTTTCTCTCCACATGTACTTATATGTATTTGCTGGATGTAAAACTAAGAAATACTGTCTAGGATTTGCCCAGTTGCAGAGAACCTGTTGGACTGGCCCTATTCTCACCTTCCATTGCTATAGAAACTTTACCAGTTTATCTCCATGTCTAAAACAGGGTCTGACTGCTCTTCTGGGTTCCCCCTCTTTGCCTTTGGTAATCTAGTGAAGTTTGTGGACTTCTTATTAGAAAATGTTGGTAAAGGCAAAAAATAATTAAAAGCTTGTATTGAGACAGTTAACAAAAATATTATCATACTATTCCACATTTAGTGATACACAGATACTCCTGGACGTAAATAGGGCCTGGTTCTGACAAACCCATAGTAAATTGAGATAGCCTGAGGTGAAAGTGCGTTTTTTACTGCCAGCCTTATCTACCATCACCCTGACTCAGTCACACAGCACCCATGGAGTGTTGGCCATTTCCTGTCATGATCTCATGGCTGACTCAGCTGTGGCTTGCTGTCGTCACCCTGCTCTGCAGGAGGACTGTACTGAACATTGTTTTTGCTAGCCTGGGAAAAGAGCAGTGTGCAAAATAAGCAGCATGGTCTCTACAGAATGCACACTGTTTTCACATCACAGTGAAGTGGAAAAGTCTTAGTTGAATCAATAAAAGTCTGAGACTATCAGTATGTGCTTGTACCAGTCAGCCGTCAGTATCTGCGGAGATTAGTTCTCAGATCCCCACGGACACCTAACTCATGCAAGCTCTAGTCTCTGAAGTGTTTTAGTGTTTGCCTGTAACCGATTCAACTATCCCAGATGCTTTCACTCATCTTTAGATGACTTTCAACACCCAATACTGTGAGTGGGTTAGAAACAGTTTGATCTTTTATTCTACAGGGAATAATGACAAAAAAAGTCTGTACATACTCAGTATAGTCACAATTAAAAAATATTTTCAATCCCCAATTGGTTAAATCTGTAAATGCAGCCCCCTGGGGTACAGAGGGCTGACTGTATTCAGTAACAAAGTCCAGCTGTGGCTCTAATGAAGCCCAGGTTCGCTGCCTTCATGAACTGCCTCAAGCCAGGGACGTGAAGTGGCTCCTGTACATTTTCTCACAGTTTTGTAAGATAGCTGGGCAAGCACCGTTGGTCTCTGCTCTAAGTCCTACAGGCCAAAGTAAAGGTGTAGGCTAGCCTGGGCTCCTGTCTGGAGGATCTTGGGGGAGAATTTGCTTCCGGTATCATTCAAGTTGTTAATAGAATTCAATTCTACATGCCTGTTGGCTGTGGTCACAGAGACTGTGTGTGAATTCCTTGGCCTAAAGTGCCCCCCAGCCAGCACCTGTGCCTGAAATCCTCCAGTCTAATCTTCATACATCTACTTCACTTCTCCGGCTTCTTCCTTTTCTGTGGGTTCATGTGATCAGGATTAATTTCAATAACTTACTTTTTAAAAGGTTAATTAAGAACCGTAACGTTTACCGAGTCCTTTGTGCCATGTAACATGTTCTTAGGTTTAACATGGGGGACAAAGTTCATGGAGACCAAGATCTTGCCTAATTATCTCTAATTGAAGCATCAAGGTGGCTCAGCCCACCCAGTAGCTTCTGTCTCAGTGGGCCTATGTGGAGCCCTGGAACGTGAATTTACAAGTTCCCAGGCGACATTGATGGCACTGGTTCAGAAAGCACAGGTGTAGGCTGGTTCACAGGTGGATCAGAATGCTCCTGGCTTGATCATTGTGCTCTCTGCAGTGCCATTCAAAATGATCTGGTTAGAATTTTCTAATTTAAAACGTTTTGTACTTCCACAGGGGGTAGCTGAGCTGAGAGCTCTAAGGGATATTTGTTTTTGCAGCCTTTCAGCCAGGGCCAAAGCTAGGATTGTGGGTAAGGGGGAGGGTCAGGGAAGAGGACATCTGGTAGGGCTGTATCAGTTGGTTCTACCTCTGGTTAGGGCCTTTGATGCTTCTAGAGCCTTCCATGATAGGGGCTTTGGGGTGAGGTTCCTGGCCAGGATGTATCAGGAGCATCCTGGAATTTGTCAGAAACGCAAAGTCATAGGCACATTTAGGCCAACTGTGGCTGCAGCTCTGGTCTGGTGATCCCTGTTGTAACAAGCTGTCCGGGCGTTTCCACAGGCCTGAGTTTGAGTGACACTGGGCTGCAGGATAGAACAGAGCCTGAGCTTAGAACTGGGGGCCCCTCCTTCAAGTATGTTGAACACAAATGACCAAGTCCTCTGGAGATGCCAGTTCTTATAGGTGGAGGAGGAATGGCAGGCAGGATTTCTGCTAGAGCAACTGAAAAGTCTTATTTGCAAAGTGGGAAACTCCCAGGTCATTTTTCTGATTAAAGGCTCTTATCACCATCTAGTGGTGAGATTTGGAAGTCAGTGCATAACCTGTAAAGGACGCATTTCTCCTCTTCCCTATAAATTTTTAAAAAATTGCATTTATTTACCGTTTTTTTTGCAGTTCTTTTTTTTTGTGTGTGTGTATATATATGGTGTGTGTGTGTGTGTGTGTGTGTGTGTGTGTGTGTGTGTGTATACATGTGTGGAGATCAGAGTCCAATTTTCAGGAATGGATTATCTTCTTTTACCATGTGAGTGCCAGGGATCAAACCTAGGTTGTCAGGCTTGGGAGCAAGTATCTACCAACTAAGTCATTTTGCCTGTGACAAGCCCCTCCCCCCCAAACTTTTTGAAAAAGATCTTGTTCCCAAAGGCCTCCTGTTCCTAAGAGGATGGAGGCAGGAGTTGTCCACACAGATGGGGATCGCTCATTGTCAGGCTTCTGCGCAGGCTGCTGCCCTCTGCTGCTCATGGCTCAGCGAGGAGACAGAGACCAGACCAAGCAGAAACAGCAGCCACCTCATCCATAATGTAAAGTGCCAACTGCCATGTGGCCCACGTCCTCCACCTACCTCTTTCTCTAGGATTTGACTGTTCCCCTCCAGATGACCCTGGCTGGCCCCTCTTCTCCCCTAACTCTTCCTGTGGTACCTGCAACTTTATGTATCACTTCTTTCTGGAACTCTCTCATCTTCAGTGCCAAGACCCAACCTCTTGTCAGCCTTCTCCACA